GAGTTCGACACCCTACTTATCCAACTATACCACTAAAAGACAGGTTTACTGCCTTTGTGTGCTTAATTTATCAACTAAAAGTAGGATTAAAACTAGCTCGTTTCACAAACATCAGGTAAAAATTAAAATACCATTATACCATTTCCAAACTAAACCCAACTAAACATTTCTCAAGGTCCAAAATAGCCCAAGTAAACTTCTGGGGGTACGCCACACATGCTCCTTTCTTACGCCCGCGTACTGATTGTTCACAGAAAAGGTTGTGGGGAAAAATCCGTGATGCCCTCCATACTCAGAGGTTATGCCTTATGTAATCCTCTGTTGTCCAAAACCACTTTTAGGCTATGAATACATAAAGACTAAACGTCTGACTCATATATCTTAATCTTGGGAAGGTCTTAAATGATAAAGTCGACAACTTTAAGCTTCTTCATGGCTTAATAAATCCCAAAACCAAACCCTAAGTCCATAACACTCTTTAATAACCTCAAACTCTTGCATGAATGAGAAATAGAAACACAGTCTTCATTTTTATGACATAAGATCCTTAAAACAACATAAAACAATAAAGTTGAGCTATGGAGTTTCTTTTACTCAAAAGAACCAAACCATAGGACCAAAAGTTATGCAAAACTAAACCCTAGCCTAGATCTAAACCATATAACCATAAAAGTGTGAGCTATATACCTCCAGAAGTTGGAAAATGCAAAGAAAACTTTGGATCTACAAGCTCCAAGCCCACCAATCACCAATAATGAACTCTTTCTACATCTACAATGCACCAATAACGCTCTAAAGGTCTGAAACAAGCTCTCAAGGGTTAGGGTTTTGAGGTGATAGAATGAGGGAGTGGAGGCTGAAGGTAAGGAATGCCTCAAGGACTTAAGGTCCTTTAAATAGGGTCCAAACCTTAAAAAGTAGAGTTTGGGATCTATGTGAGTACGCCCTGCGTAGTCAAAGGAGTCCTCTACACCTTTTAATGAACTACACCCAATGTGTCCCCCACGTAAGGACCAAAAATGTATTTTTTTAAACTTAAAGCCATAATTGAAAATAACTAGAAAAGACAGGTGTTACACAAGAAATGTCACTTTCTTCATCAACTTGGATGATGATCCTAATACATTTAAAGAATCCATGTCGTCTATAGATGCTTCTTTATGGAAGGGGACCATCTAAAATGCCCAGTTTCAAATCGTTTCCCGTTGCAAGGTGATGATTATGGAGTGGGTATTAGCAGTCTTAGGACCATTGAAGAATTTAGATTTGGGCTTATTTGGAGGTGGATGATGTAATTTGGATGATTCGGGTGTCCGGTTTGTGTTTTGTAGCCAAAGGGTATTTTGGTAATATGTTAACTCAGGCTTTTATGGAAATCAGATGTTTGTTCAGGAAATTTTAAGGAAAGTATGAGTTGATTAAAGTGCAGAGTTTCTCGTTACCTTTTCATGGATATATGGATCGTCGGAATCAGATTTAAGATTTATAATGAAGAAGTTTTGGCCTTTGGAATATGTTAGGTTTTCAGGGGAAGTCCTAGTACGCAGGGTGTACCTAGGGAGTATATGGGGCATATTTATGTGAAGGGCATTACGTGGGGCATAGTGGAGTGTACACTTAGCGTACTGCAAGGATTGGATCGGGGGTGCGGGACCTCGTACGTTGGGTGTATGAGGAGTATGCGGGGCGTACGAGGGGTAAAGGAAAACCCTAATTTTTGATGTTGTACCCTATATAAGCACATTAAGTCTTTAGGGATGGCCTCTTTACTAGCCTCCAAGTCCCCACAACCCTAGAAATCGTTCCTTAGCCTCCATGGTGGTGTTTTTGAGCTCATTATGTGCATCTTCGTGATTTTGGGTCATTTTCAAGAAGATGGAGTTTGGTGCAAGGTTGTGGATCATGGAAGAGCTTATGGATCCTGATTCTCTACTTCATCTCCATATTGTTTGACTTTAAAATCTATGAACTTGTTCATTATTGGCTTTGATATATTTTGTATGAGTTTGGTTCCTCTTTGGCCCTATTAATGAGATCTCCTGGTTTGGCACCACTCCAGGAGTTATGAGTTGCCACTCTTGGTGTTTCTGAGGTTCTAGTGCATAAAGTTGTTACCTTTAAGGTATAGATTCATCCATGCAAGATTTTATGTCCATTTGATGAAAGTAGGGTGTTATATTTTGAATTTGGGTTCTTTTGGGGCATGCATAGTCACCAAGTCAGTGCATTATGGTTCTAGACACTTGTTTAGACTTGGATATATGGTTTGGGCTTCTGATCTTAAGCATTAGGAGATTAAGGTTAATTCTGGCTTAATGGTGGAGTACGTTGGGAGTACAAGTCCGTACGAATGGCGTACAACCCAAGTTGTGTGTAGGCTTAGCGTACAATTGAGTATGCCCCGCGTGCTCAGCCTGTTGGGCTTCATAACTTTTCAACCTCGGTTGGGTCATATCTTTGGACTTTGTTGCTTTTGGCCTTATTGGGCCAGCTATAGTCAAGCTTTTGGGCTAAGGGTTTGGACTAGGAAAATTATTGGGCTTTAGGGTAAGGCCTGTGAAGCGGTTTGGGCCCAATTTGGAAAATTGGGCCATAAATAGAACTTGATTGATTATTTGGCTTTTGGGCCTTTTCAGATTGTGAGTTCGGGACTTAGTCTTGGACCAAGCTAGGTTAGGGGTAAAATGATCTTTTTATCCCGAGCATGGACTTATGGATATGGATTGGGGCCTAATTGTTAATTGGGTGGTGTTTTGGTATTGATAGTTCGGGATCTGTCAGCTAGCATCCATGGATTTTCTATGTGACTCGGCAGTGCGAGGTAAGTTTCCTCACTGTATTTAGCGGTTCGAAGGCACCAATGTTGGCCCACGATGTGTTATGCTTAGCGTTCTTGTTGTCTGCGTAACTCATGCATGTGTTATGTGTTTTATGATTATACCAGGCGGGGCCCGATGCCAGGCGGGGTTTAATGAGTATATTGTATGCTAGTTATTTGTATGGGTTTTAATATGATTACCGGGTACGACCTAATGCCTGGAGGGCCCCGAAGGCTAGTATGTATGCTATTTATGTTTGTGATCATGGCATGTGTTGTGTGTTCATTTCTTTATATGTTTATATGGGATGGGGCCCGATGCCAGGCGGGGCCTGATGATTGAAAGATCTTTATATCGATCGAAGATCGATGCCTGGCGGGGCCCGATGACAGGCAGAGCCCATTATGTGCTTAGTTATGTATGATATGTGGTATTTTGGGGAACTCAGTAAGCTTTGTGCGTACGATCTTCAGTTTATGAATCAGGTGCTTCAGTTTTTAAATTGAAGAGCTCGAGATGATTGTAGGACACACACCACATGTTTTCGCATTCTATGATTTACTCTGATTTAATGATGTTTTGCTAAATCTTGACTACCTTGGTTTATGGAAATGATATGTATTAATGATTTATTAAGTCTAAAAACGAAAATTTTATGTCATTATTTTTGGGACGTTACACTATCAATGACAAAATAAACTCGATTATGGGTAGTGAAACTTGGAAGTTCGTAGATCTACCTAAAGAAGAACCAAATGATCTAAATATATTTTTAAAATAAAATTATTATCTAGATGGATCATTATTTATATATAAAGCAAGATTAGTTTCTAAAGGATACATACATTGAGAAGGTATCGATTGTAAGAAATATTAGGGTTTATGGTGGAGATTTGGATACCAACTTGGATTGTGAGAGCACTTTTTGAACTGATATTTCAACCCTATGTCTGAGTCGTAAGAAATTCAGCCTAGGATAATCCAAGTGGACACTTACGATTCGAGGTAAAGAAATCATAAGCCAATGTGCTAGAAAAATATTGTGAAAGTTTGGCGAAAATGAGAGCTAAATTTCGTGACCCTCTTCTGAGATGGAAGAACCGTTATTATATTAATTGACATTAGGGTTGGGTCGTCATTAGTTGCTTTGGAAGCAAGTTAGAATAATCCGAATTTAATAATGATTTAGGGTTACTAGCCAGGGGCTCTGCCCCTTGGACCCCGCTAGGGGCTCTGCCCCTAGACCCCGCCAAAGGGGCGCTGCCCTTTTTGGAAACCCCGGACCCAGGGGCCCTACCCCTGGACCCCCGACTATTCGTCGAACCGGCTTCTAATTCGATCTTATACATGTGTGCACTCCGCACCAACCCGTACATATATTATAGTACAGATTAAGAAGTCCATTAGTTCACATGTTAGTTCCAGTTACATAAAATGATATTATGTCACTAAAATCACCAACATCAACTACTTCGACACCTATACTTCGGGTTCTAAGATATGTTATATTAGAACTCTTATATAAATCTTATCATTGAGAAGATTGTACAGACATCAAATAAACATGAAGACAACATTTCTAAATGACTATTTCAATGAGGAGATTTATTTGGAACAATCACCAACATCGAAGAAAGCTCCAAACGGTGACATAAGAGATTTTACGCTACTGTGACTATTTTCTGTTTTCAACACAATAGTGCTTAGAGATGTATTATTTCAAATGCACAAACTAATAACGAGTTTTTATCCGTCTATGTGTCTGTCATATGTTGGTTATTAACCCTAACAAAATTGATGTGATTATATAACAATATCATTGTAATTTTGTTTTCGGTTATCATTTGTTTCCATAACTTTTAAACCAAATTAGGAATAAAAATTTGTTTAGACAAAGAAATATAGAATTGTTTTTCCACTTTTAGGCTTTTATTACTATATCAGGAATCTTTACGTTTAAAAAAATCTGCTTTTAACTTTTAAAATATCAGTTTCGAAATAAATTACATTATCCCCAGATATTTTTCCATCCTCCTCTAAAACATTTCTCTTTCATCAATGCTGGAGTACAGCATTGTAATGTACTCGCTTTCTTCAGTCGGTGACTTTTAACACGTGTCGAATATTAGAAGCGAGTGCTATTCACTCGCGTTAATCCGCGTTCTTTATATTTTAGGAATAATGCAACAATACCCTTCCTCTATAAAACCCTCCACCGGAACAGAAAATTGCGATTTGGAGAAAGAGAGATTCGTTTCACGGAGGCGTAATTTTCCTGCAACACGACGCCGGAACCACCCTAATCAGATGGACGCTAAAGAAGTCGCCGACTACCGATGGACGAATGAGAGACACCTTCATTTCTTAAACTCCGTCGAGGCTTCGTTTGTTCAGACAATGCTCGGAAACAACGATCAATTTCGTCGTATGGATAGATGCTTGCCGGATGATTACGAATCGACCCTAGACTCGAAAGCTAGTAGCACGAAGAGAAGAAGACGACGACATTCAACATCAGGTATAACGTATATGATGAGACAGTTTTCTCTAATTAGGTCATTGGTTGATTTTTTTTCGTATGGTAATATAGATCTTAATTTGTTTTTATTTCTATGGACAATATTCATTCAGATAAATCACAAAGAGACAATTAGTTGCTGTATCAACGATTATCCTAACCTAATCCTCTGAAAAGTATATTTATGACTATGTTAGCCTATATATGGAAATTTATGTCTGACAAAGCCGCATTTAAATGGACCAAATTTATCTTATCAAATTAATAAATCACATAATTTATGGTAAAAGTATTTCCACTAACGTTTTTTCTTGTTTTTTTTTAATTAAATTTCTTGTGTTGTAATACCAAGAGTTTATAAAAAGGTCTAATACATACATCAAAATCATATATAGGTTAACTGCCATTTAGTTTTATGAATGTCCATCAACTCATAAAACATTAAAAGGATATGGTTGCTTTTTTATATAAATATTCAATTGAAACACAATTAATCAAATAATTAATGTAGAAAGGTATTATTTTTAAGAGTTGGGGTGGTATTATTGAGTGGTGGTCACACGATAATTGAGTTTAATTTGACTACTTAAAGCATATGTCTTCTTATAGAAGATATTTCTATGGAAAGTTCCATTTGTTTATGCAATGTATTCCTTTTATCGTTCTTTATTCACCACAGCTTTTCATTTTCATTTATTTCAATATGAGACGCCTCGTGCTTCTATTATCTGCTGCTATCTTATAACCAACTGGGGCATAGAAGGGGCAAAGTGGGCTGTCCAAAAAAAAATTTTATTATATATTTTTATTTAAAAATAACAATTTATAATAATGATAAGAATATTTGATTTCTCAGCGGTGCTTATAGCTATAAATATAACATAATATATAATATATAATATATAATATATAAAAGTATGTTTCAAAACAATTATCTTCCTTCATTTATTGGAAGGATTATTTTGGTTTAATTTAATCAGATATTTTGGATTCAAGATTAAGAAGCGGTCCAAGAATCACAAGATTACAAATCCATCCTGAAAGTCGAGATGATCAGGTTTTTCTATTTTTATTCTTTCTTTCTTGTATCTTATATTTAATTAATATATGAATGACTACGGAATATTGACATGAAACAAAAAAAAAAGGTTGTTCCACAGATTGAGAATACGAAAAACAAGCAAGATGAGGGAGAAGGCCAAAAATTTGTCATGACAACCTCCGCATCCTCCATGTAAATCAAGTCAAATTAATGGATCGTCTTTTCATAAATTCTTATGTTCAGTTGATTTCATGGTTTTAAGGTTGGGGAAATTCTTGGTGTTTTGTTATTGATGTAGACAAGTGTACGTTGGTTACGTTCTGTGCTTATTTAAAACTAGAATTCATAAGCCCACCACATATATTTATTCTTAGCTTTATCATCTATATTTATATATACAAATATATATATATAATATATATATATATATATATATATATATATATATATATATATATATTTATTTATCTATATTTATATTTATATTTATCTATATCTATATCCATCTATACATCTATATTTATATCTATAGCTATGTCTATTTATATCTATATATCCTTTAAAACAAATATTTTTCTTTTATTTTTATACATTTGAAACCACCCTAATTTAATTGATACCATCCAAAAAACTTTTTTATTAATGATTAATAATTGGTTATTTAATGTAAAACACATCAAACATTACAAGACGAAATATAAATACAGTAAATAATAGGAACCTTTTTGTCAGCAAGGCCTAGGATGAAAAAGAAAAAAGATGCATTTTTTATATTTTAATTTTTTATTTTTAAATAAATATATAATAAAAAAATTAATCCCTATGCAGCTGTCCATTTTGCCCATCTTTCAACACCTCCCATGGTATTTGTCGTATTTTGCAATGCTTAAGGACCTCTAAAGAAGAAAAAAGAATTTTCTATGGGTATTTTTTTTCATTTAAATTTCAAGATTTTTTTTTACCAATTGTTGAATGTGTAGTTCCTTTTAGTATGTCACATGTTATCTTGTAGGTAGAAACTTTTGCAAATAGATGCACATAACTCCATTCACTAAAGATATTAATTTCATATTTGAGTTTTTAAATTAATTGAATAGATTTGGTTTTTATCATCCTTCCTTCAATAATAGAAATTATCTCTACTTTCGCTACTTGGCACTTCTATATGTATCCATGTGTGTAAGAATTTTTATTTTTCTAAGAGTTTTGTAAAAACCATTTTAATATCTAAGAGTATTAAAATAGGTGGAAACCAGTGAAATACTCATCGTTGGGACCACAAGGTGGATTTGTTGAAGCCCGGAAGGTATTGGAAAATTTGAGGTCATGTTAGCAAATGCATCGCTACATATAAATTATATTCAATTTAAATGTTAATTGACCTTAGCTTCCATTAAATTCGTGGTTTCCTATTTGATATTATACAATATCAGATGTGAACTAAAAGAATGTCACAATTATTTTTAATGTTAAAGTGGTAGAATGGATATCAATGAGTTGTCATGTTTTTCTTCAAGTCATGAGAAGGTAAAATTTTTAGTTTTTATAATTTTTTGTTTGTACATATACATTTAATCTCAACCTAAGTATTTTTGTGACAGAGGGTTGTTTGTATTAATTTATTATAGAAATTAGATGTTTGTATCTAGATTATGCCTATGTGGTTTTAGTCTGCCGATGTTGAAATATGAAAAATACTATGATACATAGATATGCATTTAAAAAATAATAAGTGCATCACATTAGTTACCTAGTCGATGATGTTGTAGACTACAAAACAAATATAAATGTAACTTTGTGCATTTTCCAATGACGTTGTCTGGATTGAAACAACGCAATTGAGATGTATGGTGATAAACACACATACGTTTTGATATGCTGTAATATTTGTTAGATGTTTTTGGTTTTGGTAGAAAAGAACACATCAAATACAGCTAATAACATTAATATATTTCTAAAAATGAAAATTATATTTTGAATAACATGTAATACTAGGGTAAAATATGAAATGTGTTATGATATAAATATCAATAATATATATTAATTTTAATATTTATTTATTAAAATTATAACTATATAATTTAATGCAACGCAAGGTATGAGTATTTGTCTAGTTTTAACATCATAAAGATGAGCTATTCGCTGAAATAATTATTTTAGAAGTGATACGTATCGATAATTATATTTAGATATTCTTCATGTCTATAAAAAAAATTCACTTTCTCTCGAAAAAAGAAGATACCACAAATTTGTGAGATATTTTTCCAACATATTTGCGGATTTTGAGAAGTGGAAAAAAGAAATTGATAAATTGATGTTTGTGATAGTTACATGACCTCATTTTTCTGAAGTAGTAATATCCAAAATATTGATGTTTGAAAGATACGGAAATGAAATAAATAACCATGAGAATTAAAGTCATAGATAAATTGCAAAATGATCAAAATAGTAATATTAATTTTACATGACCAACAAAGAAAATAATGTTAAACATGCTATTTATATAATATATAATGAATTTAGAGTGTTTATGGTGCAAGTGAACCTCTAGATACACTATAATAATAACTCAATAAGAAGTTCTTGTATGCACTTAAATAGAAATAATATACAAGAAGCCCTTGTGTGCCCTTAAATTTTATAATAAGACTTAATTTATTCATAATTGGAGATCTAAAACGAATGAGAGATAGGCTTATAAATAAAAGTGGTGGTCTATATAACAAAGAACATTTAGAAAAAGAAATCATATAAAATAAATTTATGATGAAGAAGATATAGTCATTTAAAAATAGGTGGTTCAAAGTCTAAAAGTGACAAACAGAACACCCTATTCATGAGTTAATAACTCAAAATAAGGAAACTTGTAACCAATAGTTGGGAAGAAGAAGTTGTAGAGCTTGTGGCGAGATTTCCAGAGATATTATACTAAAAACTCAGACTTTAGATAAGGAAGTTGTGGATAATGGAAGATAAGGAAAAAGTTCAGTAAATGAAAGATTTAAATTGTGTTTGGTGCGTCACAACTAGTTGATAAGGTAGTTTATTTTTTATGTTTTTTTTATATGTTTTTATGTTTGAAAAATAAAAAAGTAGCTTATAAGCTAGTTAAAAAAAACAAAAAAAACAAAAAAAAAAAACAAAAAAAAAACACCCTACTTAGGTTGTGTTTAGCACACACCACAACTAGCTGAAATATTAGCTTATTTTTCGATATTTTTTAAGCTGTCATGTTTTGCAAGTCAAAAGTAGCTTATAAGCTAGCTTTTTAAAAAACTACTTAAACTAATTTTTTAGAAAATTTTTAAAATTTTCCAAATATACCCCTTAATTAATTATAAAAACATATTCTTTTAAATGTTTTTTTTATGCCATTTCACATTTTTAGCTAGTTTTACCAAACATTATTTTTTATCAGCTTGCTTTTCAGCTATCAGCTAGCTTTTTATTTAACAACTAGCTTTTCAGCTATCAACTAACTTTTCAGTTAACAACCAGTTTTTCAGCTACTACGTCAAACATAACCTTAGATTAGCTTTCCAGGAGTTATTATTATTATTTTTGTTATTTTTATTTTCCAAATATATTCCTTAATTAATTATTGAAACACATTCTTTTAAATGTCATTTATTTAATTATATATCTTTCAACTAGTTTTATCAAATGTTATTTTTTTTATTAGTTAGTTTTTCAGTTAATACGTCAAACATAACCTTAACACCTCGTTTCCGAGTTCAACTTAACGAGAGAAAGAAAAGGAAACGGTGGAAATGAGAAGAAAATAAAAAAAATTGGTGTTCCCGAGTTTCATTAAAGGAGGAAAGTAGAGGGAAATAAGAGGATCATTTTCCCTCCTAACTTTCCTTCCGATTTGGGAGGATTTGGAAAGAAAGAACAAAATGATTCATTTTCCTTCCACTTCTTTCAAACTCAGGAACACAAAAGAAAATTTTATTTTCCTTTCCTTTCTCTTATTTTCTTTCATAACTTTCTTTTCTCTTCTTTTGTTAAACTTGGGAACGAGGCGTAAAAATATTTATAGGTCCGGAAAGAATTCCAATGTAGACTAGGTACCTACTTTAGTGCTTAAAAATGATGAATTCATCAATATGTTGAATTCGTTTCTTTCTATTGTGAGAGTTATTTAGTTATCTTAATGTGTTGGATTTATTCCTTTCGTTGTGGGATTTATTAATTAACTGTGTTAGATTTATTACTTTTATCATCTATGAAGTTTAGCTAAAAATTACCTTTATAGAGTAATCTTGGTCCTTCTATATGAGCAGTTTACTTAGGAAAGGCCCGTAAGCTTTCAGTTTTGAGTTAATATCTTTATATAGTTAGTTTCAACCCATATTTTTTTTATTATATATTAAAAAAAAAAAAGTTTTAGTGACTAACTAATTGACCTGTACATTACACTTACAAGTTACAATTCATTAAGACGTTAACCGTAAGTTTTGATTATATTTTGATTATGAATAGAGACTTTTTTTCGTACCCCCAATTGTTATATATATCCACCTATATGAATGTAATAGTAAATAGTATTTATATACCTTTATGACGTGACAATTTATATAAATGAGAGGTGAATAAACCTCATTTAGGTTCAAATCCTACTCTATGCACACTAGAGATTAAACAAATTATCGGTTAACAAAGTGAAAAGATATCTACTCAAATCCAAAATAGATAAGAGATATGTCACTTCATAAATTAATAGAAACATCTAAAAGTAAATTAGTTACGTAAAGAAATTAAATTGCTTCCCAATTCCTTACTCCAAATTGGTGTGGCGAGATCGGATTTCATGGGGGCTTTGACCCAAAACTGAACTCAATTTGAAAACCACCATCTCAAATAATACAAACATCGCCCCTTCATATACACTCCCCATCGGAAGCAATGGTGTCGTCGTTTCTTCCATCGCAACACCATGATCCGCCATCGTCTGAGCCGCTATATACGCCACCACGCTCGCATACTTCACCGACGATCCTGACTCCGGCTGTGCAGTGAGAACCAGCACACGACCGCCGTTCCTTTTTGCGACACCACATATAGCATCGACGGTCGAGAAACCACCTGGACCGGCGGACGCGATAAGGAGATCGGAGGAAGAGATCGGAGGCGTAGTCATGTCACCGACGCAGTGGGCGGAGAGTCCCAAGTGTGCCAGCCTCATGCATAGAGCTTTCATCATCAGACCTTCTCGACCTACTCCGTAGACGAAGACTTTTCCACGGCGGGCGGCGGCGGAAGCTATTTCGTCGACGGTGATCTCCAAGGGAGAGGGAGTGGTGGTGGAGGATTTGGTGAAGACGGAGTTTATTTGATTGCAAATTCTGGTTGCGAGAGTTGACATCGATTCGGCGGTTGATTCCTCCATTGCCAATTGCTCACCTGAACTTTCTTTGCTAGTTTGCTTTGCTGCTGTTCTTCAAAGACTTCAACACATTCAAATTCTTATCTTTTGCGTCACGTGCGTGTCACGAGGAGTGGGTCTCTTTTCAAGAAGAAGTGGCCTCCACTAACAAGGTTTTTGGTAATATCCATTTGCGGCTGATCTTTGTTTCGGATAATGGATTAATGAGATTGTATTCAATGAAAACATAAAAATTTAAGAAATCAAATAACTATTTAGATAAAATAAAAATAAAAATCTAAGCCTAAAAATGAAGGCGATATTTTTGTGAGTATTGAGAAAAATTGTATGTTTTGTTTAGAAAGAAATGACCCGTAAACTTCTTTTTTTTTTTTGTTTTTTTTTGTTTTTTTTTTGTTTTTTTGTATACACGCCTTAAAGATTATATAATTTGTATAATATACCTATAAGTTATTGTGTAGGATCAACTTCCAATTAAAAAAAAAAGACACCTTAGGGGTTTAGCATGAGCATGCTTCAATTCAATTTGATTTTTGATTAAAACTGAAACAAAACCAAAAATTTGAACATTTTACTTTGGAAAACCAAACTCTTGTTTTTTGGTTCTTCAATTTTATGCTAGTCCAAAAAAAGTATATGGATTTGATATCTTCCAGACTTAGGTTGTTATATAAATTTGTTATGTTATGTTATGTAAAACCTACCTTCTCTTTCAAATAATATCTTCCAAAATTGATTAGAATGCTTAACTATATAAATATTGTTAATTAGTATTATTTCATATGATGCTACATATAATTAAAGGATAACAACTTGTCAGATTAACAAATTTATGATTTTTTATATGTTTATTTATTTAATTTTTTATATTTATTTGACCATTAAACTTACATAAATAGTTCAAAAAATACATTTAATATCCGGTGGTGTCTATGAGACATGTGTGGTCTGGTCACAAAAAGCCTCCAATAATAAGAGGCATCTATTGAAAATCTCTTCTAATATTATACTAGGGAAAATTTTCGCTTTGCAAGATTCGATACGCAAAATGAATGCACAAAACGGAAACATTTTGTCTTATCTTGTATTTACCTGTTTTTTGACCGAAACAAAATATACAAAAAATATCCCAGCCATCCCAAAACACAAAAATGGGACAAAACCAAGTAAAAAGGGTACATCTGTCCAAATCTCAGAAAAACTGAAAAAATATCCAATTTTCGAGAAGAAACACAGATCTCATAATACCTTTGTACCCAACTCTCACCAATAAACCAATGTCAACGTTTACCTGCCAATAAAAACCTAAAAAATAGCTTCAAAATCAAAGAAAAAACCCAAAATACAAGAATAAGGTAATGTAACTATTAATTACCTACAAAATTGAGCTTTATTTATTTACTAATTGGTGCATTTAATATCTACTACCACATTGAATTCTTCATTATAGAAAACACACTTTCTTTTAACAATACTTGGAATTGTAAGATTACATAGCAGAATCTGAAAGCATATTACAACTAAACTAACTAATAGCATATGGTATTGGTATGGAACCTTAGTGCTTGGATAAACCAAATGAAGGATGAGAAATTATGTGCAAACTCCCCTACAAAGCATAATAATAGGTTAAAGACTATGCATCCTAAGTTAAATCGCTTTTCATAAAATAGGGGTCCCAGATGCCAGGAAAAGCAAAAGATCGATTATCCATCAAAAGAATCAGAAGGAAAATGTCGGAGAAAATAAGCTCCTATATCATTCCACCTATGTATCACTATGTCAAAATGATTAGTAAACAAAAAAATGGAGTTGAATCTTACCAGTAATCAATTAAACATTCATATGTTACATTTTGATCACATTGTTCATCCAGGAAGGGATTAACACTTCAACAAACTCCTATTACTCTTGAAAAAGAAATGGCGAGAAGATAATGAAGCTATAATGTTCAGACTCCAATAGACTCTTGTTAAAGCCCTAATGAATGAACCATACAAATAACAATTGAGATTAGTATTTCACAAAAAAATCATAGTAAATGCATTTAGTCACTAATAAAGTATATGTTTCATCAATGAGGTATCAATTTGATTTACCTTCAATCGTGTCAACTTTTGAATACTGATGAAATTCCTAGAGAAACACATGTATACAATTGAAATCATTACATCTCACCAAGTGTTGCTCTCGAATGTTGTAAATCCACTTCACCGGCCTTTTTTTTTAAACGACAAACTAACTAATCTACTCCTAAATAACCACCTATGTCTCCATAGAGACTTGAACCCCTAGCCTCTCATATGAGATGGTCACTCCACCGGCCTTTCTAAATCCATAAAAAAGAATCAAAGGAATCAACAACAGATACAAAAGTAGGTGAATCAAACTCAGAATTGTGGAATTAGGGTTAGATTTGTCTGTCTAATTGAATAGGGTAAGAAACCATAAAAAAATTAGAATCCAAATATACAAAACGGTCGATCTTTTCAGGTTGAGAGTGGTAGAAACATGAAATTTCTATTGAAATTGAGGAGAGTTCGGAAAGCAAAGACAAATGTACCTTATTTTATTGCAGATATTTCTTGCGTATAGAGTGGTGGTGGAGAGCGACGATGCATAACATGGTGGTATTAAGAGATTTTCAAGGAAAGAAGTTAAACAAGATGTTGTGGGAAATCAATGCAACATAATACAAACAATGGAGCCTTACCTGATGTCGATCCTTTTAAATCAACCTCCACGCACCGCCTCAACTAGTCAAACGAAGCAATCAAGCGGCTTACCATGAAAGCCTACTGAATCCAATTGAAGCGGTGACAGTTTCATTTTCAAAGACTGTCAGAGTTTGGAGAATTATGTGTCTGGTCCATCGAGTTCAACAGAGTGAGGATTATGACTTAGGGTATAAAAATGAACCGCAAGATATAAATTTGAGATACACGATGAGAATTCGTGCATTAAAAACAAAAAGAATAATAATTATGGGTTAGATAGAAGTGTTTCCAAGAATGAAAACAACAACGAAAATCAAAATAGAAGAAAAAGCAGTCGGTTGGTGGAGCGGCAAGGGAAGATGAAGTGAGTGGTGAAAGGATCGGGAAAGGAAAAGCTTTAACCACCCGATGCCGTATACTTCCAAGGAATGAAGTGGTGATACGCACAATTGGTTAAAGTGGCGGTGGATTGTTACGTGGACGGAGTAAAGTAACCAAAGTGACTGTGGTAAAGGAGAAGACGACCCGTGTAAATGATGAACAATATATTGACTCTACCCACAACACGTGTATAGGAACAAATAAAAGTAACAGATAATTATTGGAGAAAATGAATAAAAAAATGGAAGTGGTCCAATAGAAAGCAAGTACTATTTCTTATGGGGTTTTGGAATTAATCTATATATAATTACTAAAAATAGAAGAAAAAAATAATATATATATATATATATATATATATATATATATATATATATATATATATATATATATATATATATATTAAGTATAGTTGAATTCCACTAATCACGTTTATGTTTTATAAATAAAAATATAAGATTTGTTATATATATATATATATATATATATATATATATATATATATATATATATATATATATATATATATATATATATATAGAGAGAGAGAGAGAGAGAGAGAAGAGTTATATGGAAAATAAATGATTAGGGCAACACATATTTGAACCAATGAAAACATGACAACACATCACTTCCACAATACATTACTTGTGAAGAAAGGAATGGACATGTGTCATTTGATTATTGGTTCCAGTAGATGTTGCCCTAGTTATTTGTTTCCATCGAACTCATTCCTATATATATATATATATATATATATATATATATATATATATATATATATATATATATATATATATATATATATATATATATATATATATCCGGTAAGAAATTTTTTTTGGTAGGAAGGTAAAAAGTTTTTTTTTTACATATTTTTTTGACGAACAAAAAAAATGTAAGATGATTTACAAGAAAAATTCTCAAAAAAACATTTATATAATTCATTTTTAAATAAATTAAGAAAAAAATCCACTTTTATGACAATTTTAGTGAATAACAACAAAATCATTATATAAATGAATCATCGAGATGTTTTTTTGTGAATTTTTTCTTGTGAATCATTTTTCAAATGAATCATCTAATAATTCATTTTATTTGTTCGCGAAAAAAATATGTAGAAAAAAAAATTTCTTACCTTCCTACCAAAAATTTCATTCTTATTTGATCTTGACTCTCTCTCTCTCTCTCTATATATATATATATATATATATATATATATATATATATATATATATATATATATATTATTAACATTGTTAAAATTTAGATACCAATATATATACATTTATATGTTAACCACATAAAATGTCCAAAACCCAAATTAAATGTTAAGTTTGTTATTAGACTTTAGGTATACAACAAGAAAAAAGAATATTAGTTACCACTTAGAATAAGTAACCTAACATAACAACTACAATCTGAAATCATACATATTGATGAGTCAAGTTAGAATAAATAACCTAACATAACAACTACAATTTGAAACCGTATTTATTGATGAGACATGAGTAGTGTGAGATCCCTTATTTGAGTTTTTTAAAAGACTATTAAGAGCATGGGTTTAAAAAGAGTTTTGAAATGTGCTAGAGCTATATCTTCTAATTTAAAAATCGATTCGTCATTTGTAAAGAAAATAATAAAACATTTTTTTTAAGAAAATATAACGAGATTGACGTTGAGCTATAGCTTCTAATAGCTAGGAAATCGATATTTTGTGTACATAGTCATTCAAGTTATTAGTTCATTGCAGTGAATGTTTGAGCAATACAAACAATATAAAGACATTTAGGTTTCTTATTCACAACATATATTGAAATCATTGAATATTGATAAACTAAAAGCAAGTTGCAAATGTTTTAAATAAAGTTTAGAAACTAGTTGTATCTCAGACATCCATAGTGTTGATTTATTCAACGAACTTGAATTATTACAAAAGAAAATTACAACATGAATATAATATAACTAAAACAATACTAAATTTCTTAAATATGGTAAACAATTATCCAGTTTTTTAATTATATAATGTACATAATATTGTTATTGTTGATTGTTCCCATGCATCAACGAAAAAGTCTTTTCAAAACTAAAACTATAAAGATCTTATTTGCGATCTATCATATCTCAAGAAAGATTAAACACTTTGACTTTGATTTCGTCTGAGAACTAGTTTCTTAAAATTCTTGATTACAAAAGTATAACATATTAAATTTGCTTCTAAAGTGCTTTAAGATTAAAGTTTAGAAAATAATGACATGTTGGTTTTGTTTCAGAAAGTTCTAATTATTCTTCGATGGAGGAAACAACATTCTAAGGCACTTACTTTTGGTTCCTAAGCATATTTTATATTTTTCATGTTTGTTTATTTAGATATAACTTTAACCACGTTTGCAACTTCATATCTATAATGATTTGAGTTGAATATATTTTAAGCTCTTCAATAAATTATACATAAATTATATGATATCTTTATAATTTTGCATCGTTATTATATAGCGATCGAAACATCATCAATCAAAGGCTTCCCATCATCGGCCACAAGACTCAAAAGCTTAAAATTCATGATACCCTGTAAGTTTTACTTTATTTAATTTATGGTCCAAGATCAGTATTTTTCAAAATTTTGTGTTGAAGGTAGGAACTAAGTAACGTATCAAAATTTTGAAATCAGTTTGGGTTTGGATCGGTCTCGATACCAATTTTTGGTATTTGGTATTTGGTTTGGTCATCCTTAATATATATGGCGCAGGTATGGAAGTCATTGGAAGCTTGCAATCATCTTTAAGTTTTGACTTTAACACCCCGCTCTCAGTTGTAGCAAAAAAAGAAGAGAAAAGAAAAGAAATTAATGAGAGAAAAGAAGAAAAAAGAAAGAAAAAAGAAATTTCTCTTTTGTGCTCCCGAGTTGGAGAGAAATGAAAGAAAAATTAAGGGTGCGTTTGGTTGTGGAAAACTATTTTCATTTTCTATGAAAATGTTTTCAGAAAATAAGGTTGAGTTTACATTTTCAATTTTCAATGAAAACGCGTTTGGTTAGAACGGGTGGAGTTTTCATTTTTCATCTTAAAATTTTGGAAAACTTCGGAAAACTGTAAAAATCACTTTTCTAATTTACATACAATTTGGAAAACTGAAAATTTTCATTTTCTTAGAAAACTTTGGAAAACTAAACGAATCAAACGCGTTTTCAAAATTTCCGTTTTTCTTGGAAAATTTTCCTAGAAAACTGGAAAATTTTCCATAATCAAACGCACCCTAAACATTTTGTTCTTTATTTCCAAATCCTCCCAAATCGAAAGGAAAGTTAGAAGGGAAAGTGATCATTCCATTTCCTTCCTTTAATGAAACTCGGGAGCACCAATCTCTATTACTTTCCTCTCATTTCCTTTCATTTCCTTTCTTTTCTCTTCGTAAGTTGAACTTGGGAGCGGGGCGTAAAGGTAGGGAATTTACCTAAGGGGGGTGTTTGGCATCGAGTTTGAAAAGTGTTCATTCACTTATTAGTTTTTCAAAAAAAAAAAAAAAAAAGCTTAAAAAGTGTTTGGGAAACATAAACATTCTTTTTATTACCCTCAAAAACGAGCTTTTAAAAGCCACACTCCTAACTTTTGAAAAGTGCTTATGAATTCTTCACCTAAAATGATTTTAAGATTATCCAAACACTTTTTAAAAATTGTTTATCAACATATAAATTTTAATACCATATAAACTCATTCAAATACTTTTTTAGAAACTTTTTTATATCACCATATAAGCTAATAAACACATTTATTAGAAAAAAATATTTATTAAGCTAAGACAAAACTGCAAAAATGGTCTAGTGGTTTGTCATTTGCTTTGAATGATGGCACAAACCAACCTTAAAACTTTTCACATCCATTGCATATACACTGAAACCAAACAACTTGTAATACCATGTGTGTGTATAAAAAAAGGATGGGTGGTTTCTATAATCATTTAATCATTAGCAAGAACTAAATTAACCATAACCACTCAAATTTCAATTATCAAGAACCATTTAAATCAGAAAAATCAAATAGAATAGAGACCAAAAA